AGGGCAACACCCTTGAAGGACTTCTCAGCTAGAGCTGTATGAACTGTAGTCATGTGTGGGCCAGGCATGGTGACCATGGATTCAAAAACTCGTATTTCTCGAGTTAAGAGCCTATCTGCTGTAGGCAGTGTCATCTCTCTTTTTTGGAGTTGCCGAGAGAGGTCGCTGAGCTCTGTGAGCGCATCGTACATCAGTCCCAGATTGCTGACAAACGTTGCAGATGTGAGCACATCATCCAGGCCCTTGTACTTTGCTCTGTCTCTGGAATCCCTGCTCGTGTCGTTTGCAGCATTTGTGAAGTGATCATGAAGCACTCGGTAGTTTTCCCAGACTGCTCTGACGCTCCTTTCACTTGAAGCCACCCAGCGGATGGACAAAACACGCCCTATCACCAGGAGACGCTGTCCGACTGCTTGCGCACACTGCGCTAACTGCCTCTGATTTTTGGGGGAGGCATGGAACAAGGAATAGAGTTTGTCAAAAAAGATCTGGAAATGATTGAGCCCTGAGACCTCCTTGACCACATCCCCAACTGCCAGCTCTAGACGATGATTGGAGCAGTGCCACACAAACAGGCTTGGGAATTTACTACACAACTGGGTAGCAACGCCTGTTCTCTTCCCTAGCATGACTGAAGCCCCATCACATGCAAAAGAAACTAAACACTGACCTAAAAAGTCCTCGTTAAAATCTCTTCCAAGACACTCCATTAACGCCTTTGTGATGTCATCAGCCGTTGTTCCATCCAACTCGATCAGCTCCCAAAAAAACGTTTCGGGCTCAGCATCAGCTAATGCTGAGCGTAGACACACAACAAGCACCGTTTTACCACTAATAGTGGTAGATTCATCGACCAAAACACAGAGTTTTCTTTGGTTTTCTGTAATGTCTTTTGCCATTTTTTTCTTCAGCTCATGAGCTATGTGGTCGATGATTTCGCCACAGGTTTTATTGGAGTGCAAAACCCTGCCCACGTTCAGCCCATTCAGTTTCTGTACATTCAAATCAATTGGCATGTCTGTGAATGGCCGGCTATGTTTGCCAATTTTATATGCAGTTCGAAAAACTCTGATAGTGGTGTCTAATTCAGATTTATGCATAGACTGCACTTGATGTTGAATAGTTTCACGTGAAGCAGATGTAAGGATGTCAGCAGCTTTTACATGGGCTTGTGATTCTTTATGTTCTTTGATTTTTTTTTCTCAGGCTAGCTTGTTGTTTGCCCTTGTCAACACCGAAATGAGACACTGCACACTCACCCCATTCAGTTGACAGTTTCAGTCCTTGTCCAGTGTGTATTCCCAAAGATTTGACATCTCTGCATATCCAACATCCTAGCTTCTTATCTTTAAGAAGGAGCCATGCATTGGTCTTGCAAAAATATTGCACCTGGTCCGTTGTCCAGCAGTCAGGTGCATCGCTTTGCCCGGTGTTGGTGGTGGCAGTTGCCTAACGTTAGAGGCTCTGGAGGAGGCGGCGGAGCTAGTGCTAATGCTAATGCACTAGAACTTGGAGCAGGAGGATCAACCAAAGAAAGCTCCCCATCAGACACCATTTCCAACACAGGCACAGCATTCTCTGTATTTGAAGTTTCTTCCGGCGACAACCGCTGTCTTTTTGCACTTTTATTAATCCACGCTAACATTTTAGAAATGCTCATTTGTGACGTGACTTGCTTTCCTTCTCTCGGGGGCGTGCCTGCTCTGTTCTATCACTCTACATAGCCACCCACTGGGTGGGAGTTGCACTGCATAAACACAACACGCGTGCATCTAGGTATGTAAATTGTAAAGCATTAAAACATGGTTTTACTAACAGTTTTCAGTATGTTGTTACTTCGGCATTATTATTATTATTATTATTTTGAAACGTGTATTACTATTAAATCACGGTCAAATAGGTTAATTTTGACACAGTCGTTTCCACCACAGTATTTACATAGAGAAGATAAGCCCCGCCCCCTCTCCAGCACGTTCTGTTTGAATGACAGGAGTAAACAGCTGACAGCCGCTGTGAAACTCCAGCGGTTAGAGCGATGAGAATGTCCGTTCGGCACCTCATGACGCATCTACTGAGTACCGGGCGGCTGTATATATATATATGGATGTATAATAAGAACGGCGGGAGAGTGTTGAGTACTGGCACGGTGCATGAGTACCGGAGTACCGCCAGCATGCCGGTACTGAGCAAGAAGTGCCGGTACTCCATGGGTCAGAACCAGAAGTGCCGGTACTGCGTACCGGTGAGTACCGGCCCAATTCCAGCACTGGTTATGTCCTAACTATGTTACAATGTTGGGGGAGCTTGGGACTTCAGACTTTCAATGCCATTTTCTGCACTAGCTACTGCGCATATGAAAATAAAGCCTTTCAATTTTGAATCTTTGAATTTGAAATGCTTTTCCCCGGCAGAGGTGTAAAGTATATTTACTACTCAAGTACTGTAACATTTTTAGATACTTGTTCTTTAGTTGAGTATTTCCATTATTTGCTAGTTTGTACTTCTCCACTACAATTCAGAGACTAATCGTATACTTTTACTCCACTGCATTTATTGTATACCTTTAGTTATTTTACAGACTTGGAATAATTATGTGAAATATAATCAACACTTAAATAAGACTTTAGTTACACCTGGAGTACATTCACAATCTACCCTGCAGAACACAAAGTGATTAAAACTAGCTGCACCTTTAGCAGCTTTGACTAACACTTTAATGCATCAATATTGAAATATATAATATATATTATTCTGTAAGGGGAAATCTGAACAATAAGTGCTTTTACTTTTGTACTTTTACTTGAGTAACATTTGAATGCAGGACTTTAACTTGTAACAGAATAATCCTACACTCTTTTACTTCTACTTTTACTGAAGTACACGATGAGTACTCCTCCCACCTCTGTAAACCGGTGTGGGACCTTGTGTATATTTTTTTACTTTAAGATATCATGAAACTCCCCATTTTAAACATTTGTTTTCTGGTTCCTGATCAGTACTGGTCTTCTTGTGAATTGCTCTTGCATGGCTTTCGACTCTGTGAGAGTTGTGAGAAAGGTAGTGGACATTTTGATTGGGATGAATCTGGGCCCTTTCTGTCAGATTCAGATGTTAATATTATAACTGAGATGTTGGTTAGTGGCAGTGAATCTGTGCAAATTTAACATGTGATTTTTACTGAGGCCATTGTAACCTTGCTGTGCTATTTCAACATTCATTATAATAAAGGAGATGAGCCGGCTCTATTAAATAGCTATCATTAACATGATTCATATTTGTTAAGCCATTGCAAATACAATGTTTTAAATTATGTGTGAACACTTTTTTATGGAAAACCTTAATCTGAAACATAGATAGACGTTTTTTGTTTAATTGATAGCCGTCAAATGAATGTACTGGCTTGGAAAGTATTCTCCTGTAAAATGAAAAGTAGAACTTTATGTTGCATGAAAGGAAAGCAATAAGATGCCATCTGAGAACCATTTCGTTTTTTATTTGAAATTGTTCAAGATCTTACTTGTGATTCAAATGCAATCTCTTATTACTGTTACCAAAGTTCAATATGAGGCAACTCCGGTGATCAAACTAATCAACATATTTAAATAATATAATAACTTAAGCTCAAGCCCATGTGGGTATCATTTAAAAATCTACTGTTTGTTACAATTTATATCCATTTACTTATTATGTCAGTCATACCAGCAGCCTGGATGAACAGCGTTTGCTTATATCTTTAGCGTTTAGGGTGAATCTGGTATTCTCACATCATCACCATACAAAGCTTTACTGTTAGATACATACATTAGATCAGTGGTTCCCAAACGGTGTGCCGCGGCACACTGGTGTGCCGTGAGGCAAGTCCGGGTGTGCCGTCGGATTGTGTGACAACCATACGTTATTATTGCAATATACAACTACACAAAAATAATTATTTTTTAATTTGCTATATCAGTACTTTGTAGCTTTATATGTACGTAATCTGCGCGACTTGCGCATCCACATCTCCACGTGCAGTGCTACATAAACATGGCTGAGTCAGCGATAACTGTCGAGGGGTGGAGGTATGCCCATTACTTTGAGTTCGTCCGAAGAATAGACAGGAATGTGACGGTGAGGTGCAAACTGTGTCCAGTCCAGAAGCTGTTATCCACAGCTGTAAACACCACGTCAAACCTCAACACACACCTGCAAAGAACGCATGCTAAGGTGAAGCTACCGCACACGCTATTTGTTGATATCACGTAGTCTGTTCTTCTTCTCTGTCTTCCGGTTGTTGCCTGTTTTGAATGACAAATACACACTACCGCCGCCTGCTGGTAAGGAAAGTTATTGCCACTCACGCATGCGCAGTTCGTACGTGCTCGGCGAGTAAAGTAACGAGTTAATTTATGTAGATAGTAACGAAGTAGTGTAATATATTACTTTTTAAAAAGTAATACATTTATAATTTGTAGTTCAGGACCATGGACAATGCAGCTTCCTTGCATTGACAGTTGTCTGTGCTGAATTTCTGCTGAGTTTCCTTTGCCTCATTTTTAATTGTGTGACCTGTCTGGTTTAAAGGAGTGTGTTGCTGCTTTGATGAAGCCTAATTTGATAAAGTTTCAAATTAATTTCTGAAATATTTCGTTAATAAATATTTCACGAGTAATATAGTTGTCTTTGTCACATTTTATTTGGCATCAGTAAATAATTATGCACATTTACAGATATTTTACATGATATGAGTGATAACGTGTTATAAGGGCTATTTTGCACAATAGGTGTGCCTTGAGATTTGTACTTGTCCTTTGGTGTGCCTTGGGCACAAAACGTTTGGGAACCACTGCATTAGATCACACAGCATTAAGTGCACCGATCATTTCTATTCATTAAAGCACAATGTAGATTATTATTATTATTACTTCAGCTTGAGTGTCAACTTGAAACCAAAATAACAAACAATTTGATTCTACTACAAAATACATAAATATACAAAACAAAATGACATGTTGAAAACATTAAAGAATCTATTTGCAACTTAATTGCAGTTTTTTTAAATCTTCAGCATAGGTTGCATTGCTCAGTCCCAGAGGTAGCTGCCTGGTGAACATTCATCCAGATGAAAAAAGTGCTGCATTTATGTGCCTTGTCACTTGTGTGGGTACATATGGAAATCTACTTGTTGGTGTAAACCATGTAATACCTTTGCAATTCAAAGTTATGCCTTCTCTGCAGCGTGAATCCTTCTCATGTGGATCAATAATTCATCGTTACGTCTGAAATTGTTCCCACATGCTTTACAAGTAAACGGTTTCTCACCTGTGTGGACTTTCATATGCCTTTTTAATGTTGACATGTCAATGAAGCTTTTCCCGCAGGTCATGCAAACATACGGTTTCTCACCTGTGTGGACTCTCATATGCCTTTTTAATCTTGACGTCTCAACGAAGCTTTTCCCGCAGGTCAGGCAAACATATGGTTTCTCACCTGTGTGGACTCTCACATGTCTCTTAAAGTTACAGTTCAATTTGAATTTTTTTTCACATGTTTTGCAAGTATATTTCTTCTCACCGGTGTGGACTTGCATGTGTTGCTTCAAGGAACTACTTTCTCTGAAATCTCTTCCACATGTTTTGCAAGAATATGGCTTCTCATCCGTGTGGGTGGTCATGTGTCTTCGCAATAATGACATGTACTTAAAATCTTTCCCACAAATTTCACATTTGAAATTCTTCACTGTGCAAGTATTACGTTGCATGTCTGACAAGTTAGCGTTGTTTATTTTGTTCATTTTGGTTTTGTGATGCATTTTGTCTATTACTGGATCGGCAGTTCTTGTTAACCCTGCGTTATTAGAATTGTGAGAGATGAGCTGCAGATTACTTTGTGCTTCTGATACCACAACGCTTAAAACTGGCATGTTGCCTACAGACTCTTTTGCACACGTCTGACCGCTGTGCACACTTTCCTCATCAGTAAGAGTCACCATGAAGACATGAGTCTCCTGTTTTAGTTCAAGCTGCTCTTCCTCCTGACTGGTGCAAAGTTCCTCCTGTTCCTCTTTAATCTGTGGAGGCTCTGGGTCCTCTTGGTCCAGACTGGAGTTCCTTTCCTGACTACAGAGCTGCTGGTCAGTAAGAACCTCCTCCTCATTACAGACATGTTGCTGAGGGAGCTCTGGAGGGACAGAAAATAAACAAAGTACTGTCAGTGTGGTGTTAGGGAAGCAAATTGCATTCAATGCTGGACAATAGTGTTAAGGTCAATATCACAATATCAAGACAACAACAAACAAGACTATAGAAATGCGTTATGCATAACATTTATAAATAGATTTGATCAAATACAAATAAAAAACATTAGGCCACCAACTTTTTAAACTATAACATATTCTAACAATGTGTATTTTAACTGCTTTGTGTATTTGTGATCTGTTGTTGGATATCTGAATGTGAATGAATAAACAGAAAATAGCTAACGAGAGGCTTTAACCATAATGAATCCCATTCAGATTGTTTTATAATTTGTAAGTGTCAGGGAATAATTCTGTATACATGTTTACCTTTTGCCCTCTGACGCAGATGCCCAACCTTGGGCAGCCGCTATCTCCCTTAAGGAGGAGCTGCCCAAGCATTTTGTTGTTGTTACCAGTTTATGACCGGGCAACTTCGGTCAGAGATAGTTATTATTGTGGGACACCTAGAACACATCCTTCTCGGGGTGTAGATGACCCGAGCCATAAGCGACAACAAATGTGATTCAGTGTCCTCAGCTGTTTAGTCTAACTATTAAGAATGTTGATTATTACACTCCGAACTAGTTCAAACCTGGAACTACAGGAGGGTTCTTCAGAATTGATGTGGCATCTCAACCGTGTGGTCAACTCGTGGCCCGTGACATGTCTTGTCAATTCTCCGGCTGTTACGACCCGCCTCCCTACTCAATAGTAGTGGCTCGTGAGGCAGTCCGCAATATAAAACAAAAGTACACAACACATAGGCACTAAACTGTGATCATACATTTATTGCCACAATACTAAATCATTCCACTGGAGGACAGGTAAAACAAACAAAAAGACGGAGGGGACTTGGGCCAACCACACCACGGGCCGTAGGATCCAGAGCCTTCCTCCGCTACCCAAAATCCAACAGAACCTAACGGGAGAAATTAAGCTGCGAAAACCTAATACTAACACGTCCTCCAGGAAACACCACAAAAAGGCAAAAGAGCTCTGACACAGCAGAGACATCCGGAGTAGTGATCGGCGCCCTCCTTCTCCTTCAGTCTCCTATTTTATGCTCGGCTGATTGGCAACTGGGAACACCTGCGCCAAGCTCGGCTGAGTGACAACTGGGAACACCTGGGGAAGGCGGAGCCAGGTGTACCTGCACAGCAGAGAGAACAAAGAGGACAACAAAAGGTGGGGAGTACGTAACACCCCCACCATGAGTTAGTGATTTTTTTATTTATTTTTTTATTAAACAAAACAATCACAACAATCAACCTTAGTTGACAGACGTGCTCACCACCACTCATTCCACACACCAGACAGGTTAACAACACACAATAACTGCTATATTATAAGCGCGACAATGCATCAGCCAACACATTATCCTTGCCACGAATGTGTTTGACCTCAACATTGAAGGCTTGCATGAAAATACTCCACCGCATCAACCTTTGATTTGTGTTACGCATTATCTACAGAAACACAAGGGGGTTGTGATCGGTGAAAATAGTGACAGGAATGTTTGATGACCCCACGTATACCTCAAAATGGTTCAAAGCCAGAACCATAGCCAGTGCCTCCTTTTCGACTGTGGAACCAATGGTGGAACACACCCGCTGGTGGGGATTGAATTTTCCGGAGCGGTACGACACAGGGCGCTCCACCTCACGATCAGCTCCCATACGTCTGCACGCTGCGCATCAGGCAAGTGTGCCAAATGAGACTCCATATTGGCCAGAGTCTCCGCAGCGATCGGGGCCTCCGAGGTGACAGGGGTGACCGGGGTGTCACTTTTAGCACTGGACAACGCCTCCACACAGGCAGCGACAGGGTTATGAACAGCCTCAGGGCTTATCGTACCTGATTTCCCACCCTCACGCCATGATGGAGGATCCCTGACCGGTCTGTCCAATTCCGTAGCCGTAAAACTGTCGCGGGTGACTGCCACCGCATACACTCCCGGCTTAACGAGCACTCTGCCACCGGCTAAATCATTCCCCAAGACCAAATCTACCCCTTCAATGGGAAGACATGGCCGAACCCCGACAGTTACCGGACCTGTGACCAGATCTGACTCAAGATGAATATTATGCAATGGCGAACCCACACACTGCATACCAAACCCCCTCACAAGAACACCTGAACCCACAGCAGACTCCTCAGAGAGGGGCAACACACCCCTTATCATAAAGGATTGCGAAGCTGCTGTATCCCTCAAAATGGTCACTGGAACCCTGTTGTTCTTCCCCGGTAAAGACACCATTCCCTCCATGAGAAACGGAGCAAAAACTTCCAGTTCAGATTTGAGAGACCCTGGCTTTGAAGTACTCACCAAAGCGACCGTCTTTACAGGCTTCTCCTCATCCCGCAAAGCATAACAATTCGCAACAATATGACCTCTTTTCTTGCAGTAATGACACACTGGCCTATCCGTAGATCCCCAATTCACCTCTCCCGGTTTTTCCTCAGCAACTCTTGGCCTGCTGGACTGCCAAGGCACTTTAGTGAAGACTGGGGTTTCTCTGATATTATTGTCCACAAACCCGGCCTGTGCCCTAGTCCTCTCACTGTAGACAGTCTTGTGAGTAAGCACATATTCATCAGCCAAAACCGCAGCATCAAACAGTTTCACCGGTTTTTGCTCATTGAGGTATGTGGCTACTGTGTAAGGCAAACAGTTTTTGAATTCTTCCATGAGCACTAATGTTTTTAGGTCCTCTGGAGATTTTGTCCCCGTCGATGAGCACCATCGCTCAAACAGAACCTCTTTCTCACGGGCGAATTCCACATACGCTTGACAATCTTGTCTTTTCAAACCACGAAACTTTTGACGGTATGCCTCAGGCACCAGCTCATAAGCGCGCAGAATTGCAGATTTCACCTGTTCATAATCCCGGCTAACCTCCTCAGATAACGCAGTATACACCTCCTGCGCTTTACCCGCGAGAACACACTGCAGCATAAATGTCCACATGTTCCCAGGCCATTTAAACGTTGTTGCTACACGCTCAAACAGGACAAAATAGTTATCAACGTCTTTTTCGTTAAACACTGGGATAAACCGAGTATACTTGCCTACGTCAAACTCATGAGGTTGCGCAGACCCCAACTGCTGAGTCTGGTAAGACGTCAGCTCCAGCTCCCTCAAACGTAACTCTGCCTCATATTTCCTCAATTCGAGATTACAGGTGATCTCCTTCTCTCTCAGTCTGTTATCACTCTCCTTCTCTCTAACCATCAGCTTGCGCAGCTCTAGCTGAAGTTGAAGGTCGCTCACTTTCTGAGAGACCTCTGTCTCGTCGTCTATGGGAACGTCTACTTCCTCCTCTGACAATACCTCCTGATCTATAAGCGCAGCCAACAGCTGTCCCTTAATGACTTGTTTCTTGTTCTGCTTATTGACTACAATGTCAAATTTGCCTGCGATCAGACCAAGCTGCTGTTTGCTACATGCATCCAACTTCCCCCGAGTCGGATCACCAACAAACCCCTCCAAGTCGAAATCCATCACTGCAACTCTACGCTATACAGCCAAACAAACAAACAAAATGCTGTCAAGGGCCTTTTACAAAGTAATACTACTCACCACACCGGCACCTGCCCGAGACAGCCTTTGGACGAGCCCCCATATGTTACGACCCGCCTCCCTACTCAATAGTAGTGGCTCGTGAGGCAGTCCGCAACATAAAACAAAAGTACACAACACGTAGGCACTAAACTGTGATCATACATTTATTGCCACAATACTAAATCATTCCACTGGAGGACAGGTAAAACAAACAAAAAGACGGAGGGGACTTGGGCCAACCACACCACGGGCCGTAGGATCCAGAGCCTTCCTCCGCTACCCCAAATCCAACAGAACCTAACGGGAGAAATAAAGCCGCGAAAACCTAATACTGACACGTCCTCCAGGAAACACCACAAAAAGGCAAAAGAGCTCTGACACAGCAGAGACATCCGGAGTAGTGATCGGCCTCCTCCTTCTCCTTCAGTCTCCTCTTTTATGCTCGGCTGATTGGCAACTGGGAACACCTGCGCCAAGCTCGGCTGAGTGACAACTGGGAACACCTGGGGAAGGCGGAGCCAGGTGTACCTGCACAGCAGAGAGAACAAAGAGGACAACAAAAGGGGGGGGGAGTACGTAACACCGGCCAAAGCTCCAAATAAACAGTCAGTGTTTGCCATCAAAGCTCCAGCTCTCCTCGTGTCTCTTTGAGTCCTGACTCTCCATTGCTGCAGAAGTTTCCCCCACAGTAAGAACTTGATAGGAAACTAGAAAATTACGAGAAATGTTGATTGTGTGACTGAAACTTGGGTGCGCATCCCGATGCTAACATTACCCCCGCTGAGTAAGTATTAATAGCATTAGTTGTATTGTTAAGGTACAACAAAGAATATCCATTAATTTTAGCTCACATTTAGCTGACTATTTTAAGATAAGATAAAGCTTTATTGTCTCCCTTAGGAGAAATGTGTCTTGGGCATCGAGATAATACACATAAAACATTCAGGTCAATCAGTCATAGATTTTAAATGTTTATCTCTTACATTTTTGGATTCTTGTACCACATTCCTGCATCGTTCCTGAACATCTTTAGATTACCACTGGGTTTAGTTGACGACCGACAGGTGTGTTCAAAGATCAAAGCGTTTCCACGGCAACGCCCTGCCAGTGAACGAGAGACAGCCTGTCAGAGAATGTATTGACAATACTGTGTTGCATTATTGCTTCTAAGTAAAAAACTAACTCCAATCAGCTAAATCTCCAACCCAGAGTATTTAGGATACCAGATGAACACCTGATGGCTCTCGTGTTTGCTATATGTGTAAGTCCGTTTGATTAAATGAGCATATCGGTGCGGCCGGGACAAATATCCCTACATTATGATCACAAAAGTATGAAGAGTGAAAATTGTGGCCAGCCGAGCAATAGTTGGAAAAAAAACTCAGAATATGTTCCAGCTCCTCTCCCCTCTAGCCGTGATGTCACCACTCTAAGTCTTAACGAGCTTTCCCATACACACCCATTATAAAATGTGAAACAGTGTGAAATGTCCACAAAACGTAAGAACCGTACTAGCTATCAAAAATATCCAAATAGTCTAATAAAGTCCATAGCCTCGAGAACCGTTTAAACTTGTATTTGTTGTCCTACGTTAAAGTCTGCAGAATCTGTATGGGGTCAAAGGAGTGTTTTTTAGCTCTGTTCAAATGGATTTCCCATTCATTCCTATGGAGCAAAAGATCTGTTTTCTGCGAATGTGCGTGAAAACGGCTAGGCGAATCTCTTTGTAAATGACGTAACAAAGTTGCCTTAATCAAAAAGAACAACACAATTGGTTTCATAGTTGAATTCAATAACTAAATACTATATTTCATGAAATATTATAATCGTTAAATATGGCATGATTGAATACAGTTTGTTTTATATGTTAAACCAATATGCGTAAGTGTTTGTTGTTTCTTGTGCCTAGGAACTAATGTTTGTTCATGTACTGGTACTGCCTGTTTTGTTGATACACTGGACAACTCAACGTGGATTTACATCTTTATTCGAAACTCTGCTGAAGTCTGTGACAAAGTTACAATTTGACAAGGTTAAACGGAAAGGGAACTTTAAAGATGAATCTCCTTTCACGACAAGCGGCCAACGAGGTATTTGTTTTATGTTCTCATGTGTCATATTTTCATTCATATATGTGTAGCAGGGTTTCCGTTAGCCGGTAATTACCGGTTTTTAGCTGGTAACATTTATTAAAAACCGGTAAATTCAAAACCTGCCGGTCAAAATGTCTGGTAATAATTAGGGAGGCTCCGATAGATCGGCCGCCGGTCATTATCGGCCGATATTCACTCTTAATAGTTTGATCGGTGCTCTATATAAAGGCCAATCAGGAGAGCTGGATCTGATCGATATGGACATAAACGCGAGTGAAGTATAACCGGACACGCGAGAGAGATCAGATCAGATCAGCTGCTGAGTCTGACCGAGACACGCAGCTCTGAATAATCACCTGAAGCCCCGCCCTCTGTTTAGCGCGCTGCAGGAGAAACTGACGGGCTGTCAGGAGAGAGGGAGGGAGAGGGGAAAAGAGAGGATCCGTTTCTCCCGTGTTATTATTCAAAGTTAATGTACACTTTTGAATAATGTACTTCATCTACTACAAGTAGTTTGCTTGAATGTAATAATTATGTTGTTTGTTGTTTGTGGAATAATTTATTGAAAAATGAATCTGAATTTTTCGATCTGTTACGATTATAAACTGAAGCAATATAAAAATGAGCCCGTGAACTGAGTTTTAAACTGAAGCATATCTGCTCATAGTCCGGTAATTACCTGCTAACGGAAACTCTGCTACACAACTCTTATTATTATTATTGAAATATGACCAGTAATTTTCAAATGTGTCCGGTAAAATAAATTCTGCCCGGACATTTGACCGGCGAGAAAAAATCCTAGCGGAAACCCTGATGTGTAGCACAATATGCTAATATGTTTGGCTATGTATAAGTGTTATTCGTTGTTGTAGTTCTCACCAGTGCTGGAATTGGGCCGGTACTCACCGGTACGCAGTACCGGCACTTCTGGTTCTGACCCATGGAGTACCGGCACTTCTTGCTCAGTACCGGCATGCTGGCGGTACTCCGGTACTCATGCACCGTGCCAGTACTCAACACTCTCCCGCCGTTCTTATTATACATCCATATATATATATACAGCCGCCCGGTACTCAGTAGATGCGTCATGAGGTGCCGAACGGACATTCTCATCGCTCTAACCGCTGGAGTTTCACAGCGGCTGTCAGCTGTTTACTCCTGTCATTCAAACAGAACGTGCTGGAGAGGGGGCGGGGCTTATCTTCTCCATGTAAATACTGTGGTGGAAACGACTATGTCAAAATTAACCTATTTGACCGTGATTTAATAGTAATACACGTTTCAAAATAATAATAATAATAATGCCGAAGTAACAACATACTGAAAACTGTTAGTAAAACCATGTTTTAATGCTTTACAATTTACATACCTAGATGCACGTGTGTTGTGTTTATGCAGTGCAACTCCCACCCAGTGGGTGGCTATGTAGAGTGATAGAACAGAGCAGGCACGCCCCCGAGAGAAGGAAAGCAAGTCACGTCACAAATTAGCATTTCTAAAATGTTAGCGTGGATTAATAAAAGTGCAAAAAGACAGCGGTTGTCGCCGGAAGAAACTTCAAATACAGAGAATGCTGTGCCTGTGTTGGAAATTGTGTCTGATGGGAAGCTTTCTTTGGTTGATCCTCCTGCTCCAAGTTCTAGTGCATTAGCATTAGCACTAGCTCCGCCGCCTCCTCCAGAGCCTCTAACGTTAGCTGCTGCTGGCGCAACTGCCACCACCAACACCGGGCAAAGCGATGCACCTGACTGCTGGACAACGGACCAGGTGCAATATTTTTGCAAGACCAATGCATGGCTCCTTCTTAAAGATAAGAAGCTAGGATGTCGGATATGCAGAGATGTCAAATCTTTGGGAATACACACTGGACAAGGACTGAAACTGTCAACTGAATGGGGTGAGTGTGCAGTGTCTCATTTCGGTGTTGACAAGGGCAAACAACAAGCTAGCCTGAGAAAAAAAATCAAAGAACATAAAGAATCACAAGCCCATGTAAAAGCTGCTGACATCCTTACATCTGCTTCACGTGAAACTATTCAACATCAAGTGCAGTCTATGCATAAATCTGAATTAGACACCACTATCAGAGTTTTGTCGAACGGCATATAAAATTGGCAAACATAGCCGGCCATTCACAGACATGCCAATTGATTTGAATGTACAGAAACTGAATGGGCTGAACGTGGGCAGGGTTTTGCACTCCAATAAAACCTGTGGCGAAATCATCGACCACATAGCTCATGAGCTGAAGAAAAAAATGTCAAAAGACATTACAGAAAACCAAAGAAAACTCTGTGTTTTGGTCGATGAATCTACCACTATTAGTGGTAAAACGGTGCTTGTTGTGTGTCTACGCTCAGCATTAGCTGATGCTGAGCCCGAAACGTTTTTTTGGGAGCTGATCGAGTTGGATGGAACAACGGCTGATGACATCACAAAGGCGTTAATGGAGTGTCTTGGAAGAGATTTTAACGAGGACTTTTTAGGTCAGTGTTTCGTTTCTTTTGCATGTGATGGGGCTTCAGTCATGCTAGGGAAGAGAACAGGCGTTGCTACCCAGTTGTGTAGTAAATTCCCAAGCCTGTTTGTGTGGCACTGCTCCAATCATCGTCTAGAGCTGGCAGTTGGGGATGTGGTCAAGGAGGTCTCAGGGCTCAATCATTTCCAGATCTTTTTTGACAAACTCTATTCCTTGTTCCATGCCTCCCCCAAAAATCAGAGGCAGTTAGCGCAGTGTGCGCAAGCAGTCGGACAGCGTCTCCTGGTGATAGGGCGTGTTTTGTCCATCCACTGGGTGGCTTCAAGTGAAAGGAGCGTCAGAGCAGTCTGGGAAAACTACCGAGTGCTTCATGATCACTTCACAAATGCTGCAAACGACACGAGCAGGGATTCCAGAGACAGAGCAAAGTACAAGGGCCTGGATGATGTGCTCACATCTGCAACGTTTGTCAGCAATCTGGGACTGATGTACAATGCGCTCACAGAGCTCAGCGACCTCTCTCGGCAACTCCAAAAAAGAGAGATGACACTGCCTACAGCAGATAGGCTCTTAACTCGAGAAATACGAGTTTTTGAATCCATGGTCACCATGCCTGGCCCACACATGACTACAGTTCATACAGCTCTAGCTGAGAAGTCCTTCAAGGGTGTTGCCCTGCGTGAGAATGGCAGGCTTGTACAGATTCATGCAGGTCAGTTTTTCCGCAGTATGGTAGAGAATCTGAGACACAGAATG